GCTGAGACAGGCTGAACCTTCATTCCTAAGTTGCTCTGCTTCAAATCCTGAGATTTTGTTGTCTCCAATGGCTGATTCTGTTGCTGTAATCATTTCAACCAAAGGGATTCTTGTTGGTGCGACCGCAAAGTTCAGTCCCCTGGCAAGGATTTCAGTTTCTGGCTGGGTGAGCTGTCTGTCAGACAAATTCTTCACCCACTTCGCTGTCTCCCGCCCCTCTGTTTTGGAAGTGGTGTGCTGTCCAAGCGATGTGTACCGCGGAGAGATTCGAGTTTCCAGTAAAGCAAATTTCTTCTGTTGTCGAGTTTTAGACTTGATATGCTGAGCTAAACCTGCCTTTGCTGTAAAATCTATTACCTGCTGGAATGTGTTCTGATCCAGACGTGTCGTTAGTTCTTGTCTGATTTCTTGTTCTTTAGCTTCTATGGCTTCAGTGGTGAAGTTTGCATCAGGACATGTTGAAAAGAGTGCTAAATCTGCCAGATTTCGAAGTTTAAAATCTGGGGTTCAGTGAAAAATAAACAAATTGTTTTGTGAAATTAGCCCCTATTTTGCTTGTCCAGTCAGGTGTGTCCCTTTGAAAAACTTTGTCAAATCAGCTGTGTCGCTTTAGAATCGCCTTTCGTTGTGACACGCCCAGTCGTCCGCAGAGACCCCTACTTGCTTTAGGCAGGTGACGTGATGACGACAGGTGACAGGCTCCGCCTGCACTTTAAACTGTCTGCCATCACAGTCACTCCTCAGTTCGGTAACCGCTCTGTATCGGGTAAGGCAACTGTCAGAAATATTGTACGTGTAAGAGTCTAAATTTGTACATGTAAGTCTATAAATGTACATAAATTTGCTACAACTTTGCCACATTACAAGTACAAATCAAATTTACAAGTACAATTCTTGTGTGAGAATACAAGTTTTTAAGTTACAAATATAAGTTAAAAAGTTACCACTTTGCCACATTACAAGAACAAATCAAATTTACAAGTACGAATCAAATTTACAAGTACGAATCAAATTCACAAGTACGAATCAAATTTACAAGTACAATTCTTTTACCTGTCAAAATAACAGACATTATGCATGGAACAC